TGGATGGATGAATGGATGGATGGATGGGTGGGTGGGTGGGTGGACCTCCCTAAGTGATAAAGGCCTAATTCAGATATTACAATCTCTCTATCTCTAAATTGGAGGGTGTAACTAGGTCAGACACTGGATACTTGCTCCTGACTGTTGCCTGTGACCACTCCATGCCAACTCCTCTTGTCTTGGAGATGGGATGGTAAACAGCATGTTTAAGAATCTGTGGAACTTTAGAATCAGGCCATGGGATGTGGCTGCATGACTAGATAAATGTTCGCTACTGTATTCATTAGTAGCTTCCGTGGAAGCCTCCCATATACTTTATGGGGAAAAAAAACCTGGGTACTTGTGGAGGCCCATAACCACAGCCTGGGGCATGAAGGCATCTTGTCAGCAGGTTCAACCAGGCTGTAGCTCATCGAACACTCCTGATGGCCAATACTATCTCTCCCTCTGACCCTTCCCTCTACTCAGCCTCTAGGAAACAGTCCCCACTGAGATCTTAACAGGGTCCTGATGTTGGTCCCTTCCTGTTCCTGCTCAGCTCAGCCAGACTTTGGAAACCATAACAATCCTCTCCAATTGTATACATTTAAGGTGTGCATTATGATGTTTGATATGCATAAGGAAGTGGTTCCTGTACAGGCAAGCACATCAACCTGTCGTCTGCCCTTGGATGTGTTTGTATAGTAACATAAGATCTTTCAGCAAATCTTAAGCCTTTAATACACTATTAACTATAGTATCCATGTATCTTCGTGACTTTTTAACCTTCTTCTCTCTGTTCCCCAACTGCCCCCCATCGTTCTCTTTATAGTGACTTTTTTCAGACTCCATGTGACTGAGGTCAGAACATGGTGGTCTTCCAAAGGTCCATGTGTTGGAAACTTGATCCTCATCATGGCAATTTTGGGAGATGGCAGGACCTTTAGTAGGTGGGACCTGGTAGAAGAGCCTTGGGGCAGTTAGAGATGTGCCCGCAGAGGAGAGATGATGAGTCCTCAGTGTCTCTTTGTCTTCCAGCTTTGTGTTGTGATCTCTTCCTCAGATATACACAGTCTCCTACCATGGTGTGACGTGGCCAGGAGGGCCATCCCCCCAAAGCTGAGACTCAAGCTAATAATCAGTCAATCTCAATCTTCTCTCTCTCTCTCTCTCTCTCTCTCTCTCTCTCTCTCTCTCTCTCTCTCTCTCTCTCTGTGTGTGTGTGTGTCTCTCCCTCTCCCTCTCTCTCCCTCCCCCCCATCATTGTTCCTCTCCCGCTCCCTTTCTCTCTTCATCTTTTTCACTCTTTGAAATATGGGCCAGCGTCAAACCCAGACCTCTCCCACCTCTGTCTCTTGAGCACCGAGATTACAGACTTGGGCCACCACGCCTGGTAATCTCTTTTGTGTTCTTCCTCGGATCTTTCATAATAGCAGTGAACACACACATATAACGTACGCTAATGCATGCATGTAAGTAAGGTCGTGCAATGTTTGTCTTTCTGCCTGGCTTGTTTCACTGACTACACTATTCTCCCCAGTTTCACACAACTCAAAATAGAAGACCCCTCTCCCCTATTTTAGTGCTAAATTACATATATATATATATATATATCAGTTTCTTTAGCCATTCATTAGTGGACACTAAGGTTATTTCTACAGCTTGGCTCCTGTGACTACATTTTGATAACTGTTTCAAAGCCCAGATGGGAAGGCTTTTGTCCACATGTCAGGCAGGGGTGCATGTTTAACCCACTCGTATCTCTGCCCTGCCTGAGCCTCTGTCCCAGGGTCTGATTTGCTGGGAAGGAACCTTCTCCAAGTGTCTTCAGACTCTCAGCCTGAAGACTTCAGAACTCACAGTCATCTGTTTTCCAGCTTAGGGAGCAGAGCCTGGGTGTAGTGGTGAAGTGATCCTCCTGGGCAGAGTCCTCCCATGTTGGTAGGTGAAGGCCATGGCAGCTTTCAGCTCTAATAACAGCATTATGACATCATGCAACCCTCGGCATACCAGGAGTGAAAGTCTATGCTGATTTTACTGGCTTTATAAAATCATTCAGCTCTATCAGCTGGCATAAGACATTCTTCTATACATCCCTGCTGTTTCTTCCCAAATGACCATGGCAGGCCTGAGTCTACCACAGCATCTGAACCTCCATATCCTGGTTGGTAGAATAGGATAATAATTTCTGCCTTAGGGAAGTTGCAAAGATTAAAAGAACTCATATGAAATCATTTTATATATCAAGAAATGATGCATTTTGGTTCTGGTGAACAAGAACCTCCTGTCACCAAAAGAAGGAAAAACATGGAGCACTGGATGTCACTATTCACTGTCCCTGGAGACTTGAGCTTGGCCCCTTCACTTCCATAGCCTGCCCCCCCCCCCAAACTCAATGTCAAGGGACCAATTAGCTCAGAATCATAACTGTGAGGAATTATAATTATAACTGTCAGAATCAAGACTTTCAGCAGTATAGTCTTGTCTGATAGTCTATGATCAAGGTCTGACCCACAGCTAGTAAGCAGTTACTAAAGTAAGGATGGGTTAGTGTGGGTACATGAATCATAAAAAATACTTTAAAATCAAAGGCCCTGGGCTGGGAATAGTGGCTTGTACCTATAATCTTAGCACACTGGAGGCTGAGGCAGAGATATGACAGCAAGTTCAAGGCCAGCTTAGACTACATCATGAGTCAGAGGACAGACTGAGGTTCCCAGCAAGGCTTTATCTCTGACAGAAACAGAGACACAGAGACAGAGACAGAGGGAGATAGAGAGGGAGACTACCAGACATGTCGAACTTGTCATCCACAGACCACATACATCCCAGGATAGATGTGCATAGGCTCAACACATTTGTAGAGGAAGCAGTGTATTCCAGTGTCCAAAGGTTGTGCACCCTGTAGAGTTGTGGAAGAACAATGCAACTGAGTCTCACCAAGCAATTAAAAAGTCAGACTATTATAACAGGCAGAGATGCCGCAGCAAGGCTAAGTCTCAGAAGCATTGTGTTAATTAAAAAAGAAAAAGTAAAGAAAAGAAATCTGGGTGGGCTGGAAACATGGCTTAGCAGTCAAGAACACTCACTGCACTTGGACACGGGTTCTATTCCCAGCATCCACATGACAGCCCACAGCTGCCTGTAACTCCAGTTCTAGGGGATTTGATGCCTTCTTTAGACCGATTTGGGCTCCTGCATGCATGTGGTACACATACATACACTGACACAAAAATACACAATTACATTTCTTTAAGCTAAACATAAAAGTCGACACATTGAGTCCATTTATAGTACATTCTGGAAAAGATAAAACTGTAGAAAGTAGAAGAGTGATTGACAGGAGGGTGCCAAGGAAATGGCTTCCTTCCAGTCATGTGGTAGTGTGCCTTTCCCCAGCCACTTGAAGGGACCTGCTTTGACTAAAGACATGTGAATGAAGGTGAAATGTGTCGCTTCTGGGAAGATACTTTAAGAATTAGTATATGGGGCTAGGTGTGGCTTTAATGGCTTTAACCTCAGCACTTGGGAGGCAGAGGCAGGTGGGTCTCTTGAGTTCAAAGTCAGGCTAAACTACATAACAGGTATCATGAGACCACTTAAGAAATTCAGGATTGCTTAATGTCAGAAGCACATTACAAAGCTGACTGGGTTTCAATGAAAACTCACAACAACAACAACAACAGAATTCAAATTAAAAAGCCAGGCCTGGTAGCATAGGCCTGTAATCCTCTCTACTCAGGAGTCTGAGGCAGGAGGACCACTGTATAGCCAGTCTGGGCTGTAGAGTGAATTCAAGGCTGGCTCAGGCAACTTAGTGGCACACTGTTTCAAAATTTAAAGAGTAAAAAAGATCTGGAGATACAACTCAGTGGTTGTGTACTTGCCTAATACGAGCGAGGCCCTGGGTTCAGCCCCCGCACTAAACCTAGCACTGCAAAGGCAAACCAGAAAGCTGCACTTTATGGTCTGCAGAGCTTTGGGGGCTTTTGAACAAAAATTACCTCAGTTTGAAACTCACCAATACTTTTTATTAGCATTAGGGTACTGTGGGAGACCCACTCCCACTTTTACCCCCAGATATTCTTGAGGAGGGAGAAGTGAGAAATATTTAAATAGAAATACAGAGGGAAGAGAGACAGATAGAAACACAAGATAGCTCAGGAGGACTGGGAGGGCCAGGAGGGCCTGGATCCTTATCCACTGGCCCCTTCTGTCTCTTCTAAAGGGCCCTTTAAAGGAATGCCAAGGGGCAGGGCAAAAGGTCTCCCCTCACTAGATCAAAGCACACTGCACATTTCAAGTGCAGACCCTTCCAAACACCTGGTAACCATGCATGTGGTCAATCCATCCCCTTATGCAGCCCTGCTGAGTAAAGCAAGCTCAGATTTTACTAGGAAACCTCTATGGGCTCCCACAGGTAACCTCCTCTTAATTTTTTAAAGAGCCCCTCAGGCCCCTCAGATAGACTGTGCCTGCCTTGGGTTGTCATCTTCAGTTAGACAAACCTTACCCGTCATGGAGAGATACTTTCCATCAAGTAAATTCTGTCTTAGATTGGAAGCAAGCAAGAAGAAC